CATCACACTTAAATATGATTATATTTCAGATGAAATGAAAATTGTATGTAAAACAAATTTATATTCATAACTGGAGTAGCACTAGCAAAAATACTTATAAATGAAATTAATTAAAATCACCAAAGTCTTAATCAAGTATTGATCAATTGGGTCTTTAAAACCAAAATAGTAAGACTAAGGCACTGCCATTTAAGTATTTAAGTTATCTATGTATTGTTACAATGGCTAAAACTATCATGCATAATGTAAAACACTTTAGAAGATATAATCAAAATTCTAGTTAATGGGCCTACAGTAGTGGAATATTCTGCTAACTACATGGCTAAAACATCATTATTCATGTTTACAGAAACATTGTGATGTTGTGGAAGGAAAACTTGGCTATGAGTTTGAAAGATCAGAATCTGAGACCCGGATTTAGCATTTACTCTCCATGTGACCTTAAGTCAATTATGTAACGCCTCGTGCCTCAGTTTCCTCATTTGTAAACAGAAATAATATTTACATTAAACACCTCCCAGGATTATTTTGAGGAGCGCAGATTGGAAGTTTGAAATCAGTACAAAAATTTGAAGTCGTTATTATTATCATAAGGAGACCACCCTGACTCTGAAGGAATCATATTCCTGAATGGAATCCCTGCCAGCAAATAACCCTCCTCACCCTCCTTGTACCCTCCAAAATGTGTGTGTTTGCACACAATCAAACACACACACACACACACACACACACACACACACACACACACAGCCCTTCACCACCAGAAACCTAAGTAGGAGAGCAAAGCCAAGATCTGGGAAAACTGAGCATTTATTGAATATAATTGAAGGTCAGCAGTTGGAATGATGCACCCTGGAGAGCAGTAAGAACAATTCCGTTATTGGCCTTGCCTTTCACCACCACACATAAACACCTTCCTGAAGTAGCATTAATATGTGAAATGGGCTTCTCTGTGGCTGGAGACACCCAAAGTTACACTCTATCTTTCCTTTAGTATCTAAGTCATTCATTTCCACTTCCTTTGTTAATGCTTTAAAAGTTTTAAATCAAACCAATAGCTCTTCTTCTCCTGAGCACTCTCTTAATCACTCTCTGTTTTGTCAAAGAAGGAATTAAGCTCAGTCTTGTTATCTTCTTGAGTTGTATTGATTTTCCTCAGCTCACTTGGGAGAGATGAAGAACAAAATGAGGCTAAATATTAGTTATGAAAAGCATCTGAACCTTTTCCAAGAGTGCAAGTTTCCAGCTCCGCTAAATATATTTCATATAATACTTTTCATTATTTTCCTAAAAAAATAAGGTGAATGACAGAGAAGACAGACCATTAAATGAGAGCATGCTCCCCACTTTCACTTAGAATTCTATCTCCTGCTAGTCATACTTGAATCTTTCTGCTGTGTGAATTTATTTTTTAACTTTGATGTTATCTTTTTCAACTTTCCTCATGTTTGTGACTACCATATGTTTCACAATTACTATAATTAATACCTTTAGTTTTTCATTTTTCAGTGGATAAAGGACAGGGTATATCTTTTGCTATGGTGTGTACAGCCATGTATTTTTTTTTTTAAAGAAATAGCATGAAGATTGGAGATTTGTTTCCAATCCAATGAAATAAGCATTAATTAAACACCTACTTTCTACAAGGGCACTAGATACAAGGACTAAATGCAAACTGAATAGCTTACATTCTATCTCAGCATTTGTGGGCTGAGCCCCATGGTTCTACTTAGCCAAAAATCACATCGAAGACTCATTAGTTACACAGGGACTCCAATCATCCTATTCTGGGGCCCCTTGATCATAACCATCACAAGCTACATGGCGTAAGGAGTTGAACCCCTCCTAGAGATCCTCTGATAAAATGAACAAACAAAACCCAAAGGATACATGGGATATGGAGCTGAGCTTCAATCCAATGGATTTCCTGATAAGAACTTCATAAGATTAAGAGCCACAATGCAGGTTGTAACATAGCTGTATATTATACATAGTGAGGGACCTACAGTCCATGACTTCTTAAAGCACATGTTTAAAATGTAAGTTCATAATCAAACAGATAAAGGAAAATCTATCACCTAAATTTTAAAAATCCACAACATCCTTTTTTTCTTTTATATGTAGATAGCCAGTTCCTTTTAAAGGAAGGATGCATAAAATAGCAACCAATAATAAGGAACATTGTAGTAATATAAACAGCAGTTTAATATCCACAAGATGAAATATTTGACTGCATGGTTTCCTTTGAAACCAATTGGTGGGTCTCTTTATAACATCTGTGCACTTTTAGCACAAGATTCTTTGCCTGGTGGTCTTTCAGGATACTATTTTATAGTATGTTCCCACTGAACATGCTCAAAAATTTGAACTTGATGGGTGGTTTAATTTTTTTAAAATATTGATATTATTCCTGTGGCTTTTTGGTTTTATATTTTGAAGTACCTAACATTATTAGAGATACTTTTTGTACAATTATCCAACAAAATGTCAGACTGTTATGCATATTTTTCAAAGATGAAGTCTTTTTATTCTCAGGACAGGGATATGCAGAGATGGAAAAATGGCTCTCACTGGGCATTTCTCTAATTCTATATAGATTCTTCCAAGCTAACGTGAGCCAGATAGATTATAAGATCCATTTATCAGCAACAGAAATGCTTTGGGTTGGAAATCTGGGAATATATCTAGCACATTAGGAATAATTTCTCTATAAATTAAGGATGGTGAAGTAAATATGAATGACCATAAAATAAATCAGATGTGTAGTGTTTCCTTAATTAAATTCATACCTATATAATTTTTTTCTGTAGTTTTCTATAGATTTAACAGAATAAATAGTAGAATCATTGAAGAATTATGAAACTATACCAAAATTATGGATAATCTTTATCCTCTTAATTAAAAAAATCTAAGAATATGCATGCCCTTTACAAAAATTCCACAACATATTAAGTTTCAATGTAATAACAGTAGAACAGGTCGACTGATTTATTTCTTAAACAGCCTACTGTAGGTAGCATTCTATTTGCTGAATAGAAATAGAACAAATCATATGAACTTTAGTCACCTAATTTCCACTCATTTGCTTATCTATTCAACAAACATTTGTTGTTTGTGGCTCATCCCTTACCCTGGCCTAGAGATTCCAGCAATGATATTGATAAATGTAAGAATTATTTCAACTTCTCAGGATGATGGAATCAGATATCTTCTCATATCTCTTCTTTGGAGCCAAACTTGGTAATTCTAAATTTTCAACATTCCATTTTGATCATTTGTATATTATTGTTATTTCCAATTACATTGTACTGATATTAACACTACTTTTTTTCCAACTCAACATACATGCGATATAAGCTTACCATGTATAAGGCATTATATCAGGTGTTAAGAATATAAAGAAAAAAACCAGTTAGACTACCTGGAAAACAAAAAGAAATATCTCAACTTGTAAGAGATTCCTTGTTCTCTTGTGTACTATGAAATTGGCTTATTTTTAGACCGCTATCTGTTAGAAAGAACTGATAAGTAGAAATATGTACAATAAGATTTTATATATATATATATATATATATATATATATATATACACACACACACACACACACACATATATGTATATATATATATATATATACATATTCGTGTCTAATTGTAGCCATCTCTAGAGTGGGGGAGAGGAAAAAAGGGGAAAAATTAATTTACATGATAACTATTATAAATTTAAAAGGAATAGCAAGTTGTACATAATAGATTTGCAATTTCATTTGCAGTCATTTTTTTTTTATTATACTATGTTATGGAAATGTTTGTTTTATTGCCCTCAATCCAATCAATCCAATGAACACTAACTGCCAAACAAAAAAAAAGGAAAAAAAGAGAGAGAGAGAATACTATCTGCTGACACATCAAGACAGAGGACTTATCTTATGTATTGAGAAATTCAGGGAAAATAAAGTCATGTCAAAACTTTGGACAAAGGAAGAATTAAATTTTGAATTAAAATAAATCCTCATTAATTTAGAGTCTCTCATAGATGAAATAGGTTTAGATGAATCATAACTTTCATATTCATGTATAAAGATTATTTGCTAAACTTAAATTTTTAAGACTTCAGGACAAATATTTAGTTTACATCAAACTTTTGAGTAAAAAATTATTATTTATTATTTATTTTTATTTATTGTTATTATTTATTATCTCACAAAAACAATTATTTCAAAAACATATATATGTATATTGATACATAGACATGTATCTATGTGTGTTCATATTCACATATATTTATAGAAAGAGAAAGGGAAAGAGAAAAAGAGAGAATAAGAACAGGGACTAGATCTACAATTTCATTGATATAAAGAAATCCAAGGTGAGGAAACTCCCTTGATTACGACAGTTCCACACACTGTTTACAACTTATAGTCTCACAGTTTCCTGGAGCACTGGTTAAGGCACTTCCCCAAGGTCATACAGATAGTATATATCAGAAACAGTGGTTGGACCCAGGTGTTCTTGGTTTCTAGGCCACCTCTATCCACTTTGCCATTATGCTTTTCCATGTAAATATGAACAATGTATTAATTACAAATTATATTTATTCATCTGGGCAAATCCAGTAGCACTGCTATAGGCAATATTAATTTAGTTCGTGTTACGTTTCTGTTATTTGGAAGTAATGAAATATAATTTTCTTAGACATATTCTACAATCTATCATTTTTACTACTTCAAACTGGCCTTCATTCCAATTATGCATAGTGACATTTTACTGTATAGCTTTGTTTAGCTATTAAGTCCATATGCAACAACAAAACATGGATAAAAACTTGTTGAAAGATTTAAAAACTATGGATTTGGCATAGGGAAAAATCAGCCAAGCATAATGGATTTTGTGAAAGACTACCTTCTTTTTTTCTCTCATGAGCAATGTCAGTTTGAAAATATTTGCCTGTAAGAATGATGTTAAAAGATACATTCAGTGCTATATTCTGTCACTCTACAGATGGAGAATTATACTCTGGAACTGCAGCTGATTTTATGGGACGTGACTTTGCCATTTTCCGAACTCTTGGGCACCACCATCCAATTAGGACAGAGCAGCATGATTCCAGGTGGCTAAATGGTAGGTAAAACATGTAATAATAACATGGCACCTTGGGTCTGACATTTTAAAATCCAATAATCCATACCTAAAGACTTAGTTTAAAATTGGATATGCCCCTTAATGCCAATGACTTTGAATGTTCAACAATTAAGTTTCTTGTATACTGAGGATAAAATATTTATTAGCTTATATTTTAATGAACATTAGTGAATACTTACTGGTGGTGGTTTTATGATTAGGAAGTATGAATAAACTGATCAAAAAAAAAAGGAAAGAGAGAGATAAAAGATTCAGGAAACCTGGTTATATGCCAACAACGAGGTCATGAAATGTTTTCTCTATGGGGAGAAAAAAAAATCAGGGCTTAGAAATAAAACGAAAAGGAAAAGATAAGGTATGTTTAGGGCTGGGCTTGACTTAGGCCAGTCCTTGGATATTGGAACAAAATGAGACATTTGTTGATCATTTAGCAGTTGACAAAAATAAATTTACTTAGCTATAGCAGGAGAAAGGTAGGCCTTGATGGCACCTCGGGTCAATTAAGCTGAGCAAAGCTTCCTTGCTTGATTTACCTATCACAAGCCACCTGCTAATCCTCCAAGTCCTTCTGGAGTTCTTTATGTCTGTTTTGTACTCAGGTGATGAGGAAGTGATGTCAGCCCTCAGAGTCTTTATTCCCTTGTGCCAGCAGAGTGTCAAAAAGGGGTCAATACCTTTTAAAGGAAAAAAGAAACAACCTAGCCTAATTTGCCTACAAGGAGTAAGGAGAGTGCTACTATTACAAGGTATTTTAAGGAATATGAACAGATATTAAGCTTAAAGAATAAACTTGTTCCAGTGGCTTCCTCTTGATTTTTAGAATGAAGTACAAATTTTCTGGCATTTAAAAGCCTTCCCAATCTGGCCCCAGCCTATCTTTACAGGCATTACTCTATTATACTCATTATGGATATTTGAGCTGTCTTACCTGCTGTCCCTCATATACAACATTACATGTCCTGCCTTTTCCCCAGAAAGCTGGAGTGCAGAAAACATACATTCCCAAAGGTCCATTGATCCTGTCAGATCTGGGACTAGAAAATAGATTTCCTAATTCCTCACGTTAGGTCCTTTATATCATACTGAACAGTGGTTTAGTGTAAAGTGACACATAATAGAATATAGAAATTTTAAAAACAGTGAGGTATACAAAGCAATTATGCCTAAGAAAGATTAGAAATATTTTTAAGCAGCCAACAAACAAAAGGAAAAGTGTATATTTATATTTGTTTCCATTTAGATTTCATGAGTGCTTTTCATTATGAATTATGTCTTTATAATATGACTGAACTAGATGGTGAGGTATAGCTGGATGCATTTTTACTTATGTACTGTTACAAATAAGGTCATGTAGAAAATTCAGTAGGGCCATGAGTCTAGGTTCCATAATCTTCAAGCCCAGAGTACAAGTCTTTACATATGTTGTCCTTCCCTTGAACTTAGACCTTTAACACTGGCACTACACTTATTTCAGTGATACTCTCACTGAAGTAACTGTGATTCATAAGTAGTCAGCATAATTCCTCCTCCATTCAAGATGTCCTAATAATATATTTATGGAGAAACAGTAAATGCTATGCCATTCACAATTAGTGTTAATAGCATGGATGGATATATATATATATATATGTGTGTGTGTATATATATATATATATATATATATATGTGTATATATATATACATACAAATTCATCTATATATGTACATTCATATTAATATGTTTAAATGCATATGTGCATGCACACACAGACACATACACACACACACACACACACACACACACACATAGGCACACGTCAGAAGCAGACTTTGGGCTAACGTGACCTCCAGAGGTCATAAAGATTTTCAATGTCCTTAAGAAATAAGGCCTGATTGTAATAGGTACAGATATTGAAAAGAATAAAGCACCCATTTCATTTGTATGGCCTTGGGGAAATAAAGCCAAGTCATCAACTTGAAGCTGCTTTTGTACTGCAGACCTGCATGATGACAGCTGAGTCTGAAGAATTTACACTATGGGAAAACACAGCCATTGTCCACAGCTCTGTACTTCATCTCTGAAAATGTGTAATTCCTTTGGGAATTCAGTTATCAGTCTCTCAGCACAAAATGTGAGAACTGATTTTCCCAAATTAGCACAGAGGTTACATCTGACAGGGTGCAGAAACCAGGACTGCTTTAAGATTGAGGACGCAGTCATGTCTCCGATAGAACCAAGGGACTGGGAATCATAAACTACCCGAAATTAAATACCATTCTGGAATAAAATTGGAGACATGATGTTTATACACTCATGCATACAATGAATGACTTTTGTGGAATAAGAACATACTGCATAATCATCAGAACTGCCAGAACCTCAAAACTATATGAAAATGTTCTTTTTGAGTGGTCTTCAGGGCTATGAACATTTACTTTGGCATATGACATTTTAATTTCCCTAAATCAGTTCCTCTCCTTTGCAGCAAAAGTTGGCATATTCCAGATATATTTTAATAGTTTCCTTCCCACTAAGGAGAAAACAAATCTGATGCAGCGGCATTTAAAACGTTTTATAAATCAGACTTTAAGCAATGTGGAGCCCTCCTTAGTCAAAAATCATTACTCTAGGCCTCTTCTTCTAGCTACATTGTCAGCAATTGTAATTTTCAGAGAATAACTAAAAATAGAAAATCATCTTGTAAGAAGGGGTTTTCTAAGTCCTAAGAGAGAGGCATTACATTCACTGTTATTGGTATTCATTGTTTTCTTGGTTTTCATTTCTTATATTGGTTCCTACTATAAAGGTATCCATGAAAAAGCTAGAAAACATTTTGTCTTCTAGTCTGCTTGCCATCTTGTTTTTGTTTTATTTCTTCTTAAGGAATATGGTTACATTCTGAGGTTTGCAAAAGGTGTAACTGAATTTAAACTAGCTTCTACTTAGGGTTGCTAAGTAGATGGATGCTCTGAAGGTTATAAAGAAGGAAAATTTAATATTTGGAGTCACATGAACTAATTAGTGAGAGTCTGTGGACCTTTTTACCCTAACCTCTAATTATACAAATGCAATAATAGACAAATACTTTGACAGTTGTTCCCTAGATATATGTAATAAAGGATGTAAGAAGAGATGACCTGATAGTATAGACTATACGTTAAATAGGAGTGCTGAATTAGACATTTTAAGAAATAAGTTGGTATTTATTAGCTTTTTGTGACTGTCAGACCTCTTGATTTTCTCGTCATGTCTGTGGCTTAATATTTTAAACCAGTTAGTTGCATGTTTCAGTACCCTGGAGACAAAGTCCTTCATAATCCTTATTTTACGGTTACATAAGCAGTTGAGTATTATAGGAACTGAGTGAACATTCAATAATGAAAAAAAAACCCTCTTAAATTTCACAGGCTTTGAGACAGGAAACAAGGACACAATCCTCTTATGGCATTTGTATTGTATTTTCTGGCAGTTACTGTGCCCTGTCCCCTTTATTGCAGATTACAAACTGCCATAAGATGGCCTTGGACACTGAATGAGTAGGTACATATAAACTGGTTGGTGTTATGATAATATACAGTTTGTCTATGGAATCAGGAAGCTAAGAAATGAAATACGTTCAGAGAGCACCCTTCTTCTCAATTGAAATTAGGAGCAAATGAGCACGATGGTTTGAAAGTTTTTAATGTCTATTTTGCTGAAACAAAATTTAGCAGTTTTTCTTTTGTTTGTTTTCACTTAATTCAGACAGTCCTTCACCTTCAGACAAAAAGCACATACCCTCTCTTGTATATTCTATTGGAAAAAAAATACACAATAAAACTAAACTATGGGGTCTTTTTACTTTCAAACCACTAATCATTTTCGTGTGACCTACAAATGTACTTTTTTTCTCAAACAGGCCAACCTTACCAAAACATTAATTTCCTTTACCTCATCTTTCCTAGACTCATTTTCCATGTTCAACCTTTTACCAAAGGAAAAGAGTGAGTTTTAGCCTCCCTCAGTTGAAATAAAGTTTAGTCTGTCAGAAAAAAGAAAAGTATGAAGCTTAGAAATAAAAATAAAATTCTTATTGCTGGTATCAACTTTTGATAGGGGATATTTCTTATAGACAATCAAACAAAACATATTTGAGAAAAATATGATCATTCTATGTCATTTCTTAATGTAGCCAATCCACTTTTTTCCTGGAGAGAATCATAATAAATATATAATTTTAAAAATGTTTTATCAAGACCTGTGAATTCATCATTGATATAGGAAACTCCCTCTGCCATATCAGGTTGGCAGCTCTTCAGGGCGCTGACAGGCTAAGGAAAATGCCCTAGGGTCACATAGCCAAGATGTGTCAAAGGCAGGACCTCAATTCCAGTGGTTTCTATTCTAAAACTTGCCCTATATCCACTGTATCTTTCGGCTTCTGAAATAGTTCTCAAAAATCCTAACATTGCCATCAAAAATGCTAAGTTTGTTTAATTGAAACCATGGCTGAAGCAGTGTAGTGGAGTGGGAAAAGTTCTGGATGGGGAATCAGAGGACCTAGATTCAAATCCTGGTTCTGCCACTTGTTATCTCTATGATTTTGGGATTCCCTGCCTTCATTTAAAACAGTATAAATCCTACTTTCTTTAGGAGGCCTTTCAAAATCTCTCTTCAAGTCCCTCCACTGTATGTCTTATATATCCACCTAGTTGTTTACATGTTTAATATCGCATTGGAATTTAAGTTCCTTAAAGGCAGGGATGGTTTTGGGATTTTTTTTTTGCCTTTACATTCCCACAACCTGTAGTACATTGACTGAGACACAGTAAGTACTCAATGAATGCTTGTTAACTGACTGACTGAGATATAGGTAAAACAGCAATAAAAAGATAACATAGAAAGATCCAATGAACTAGATCTTAGATTTATGACTGTGATGACAAGGTATCCTTAGTATTTTGAAATAAAATAATGAACACTTTTAGTATTAATAAACTTTGATTAGTATTAATTACTG